TATACAAAAACCAACTCCAGACAGATTAAAATTTTAAATGCAGAAACAGAACATTTTTACAAAATGCGAATATAATTTTGCCATGGAGGAAGGAAAAGTTTTTAAAACAAGACATAAAAAAGCACTGACTATAAAAGGAAAAATTAATAAACTTGACTACATTAAACTTAAGCACTTTATCTTAAAGAAAGTGAGAAGTTACAAACTAGATGTTTGCAATTCATATAACTGATAAAGGATTAGAATTCTGCCTATACAAAGAACTCCTAAACAGCAATTTTAAAACATAATAACCTAATAGAAAAAGGAGCAAAAGATAAGATCAGGCTTTTCACAAAAGAGAAACCACATATGGCCAATTAACATGAATTCTGACAATATGAAGTATTAGAGATAATGTAGATTTACAGAATCTTTTACACACTGCTGGTGGGAATGAAATTCGAGCAACTGTTGTGGAAAACAGTTGGCTTTATGTACTAAAGTTAAATATGAAAATACTCCAATGATACAACAATTTCACTTCTAGGTATATTTACAGAAAAAAATCCTAGACAAGTACACCAAGAAGTATATAAAAAAATGTCCACAGCAGCACTTCTCAAACAGTAACTATCCAGAAACAACCCAAATGCCCATCAACAGCAAAGTAAGTGAGTAAAACATGGAATATTCACACAATGTTATACTGTAGAGTAGTTGAAATCCCCTGAACCATACTGACATACGCAACAATACGGATGAACCTTAGAATTACATTAATTGAAAAGAGTATATGCCATGTGAGCCTTTTTCATAGGGCTAAAACAACTAAAATAAAAATATGTTCAAGAAAGTCATACAGGTTCAATGAAATTACGTAAAAAAGGAAGAAGCAAGACAATGTTCAATATGGGATTCAGGGTAATGATTACCTAGGATAAGGAAGACAAAAGAATGGTTTGTGGGGGCATCTGCATCTCCAGAATCAGATGTAGGTTATGCTAAAGGTCCTACCTTTTCTGTTGGGTGGTGGCTTCACTGAATTATTTGAATTATTACATTATTCAAAATAACTAGCTAAATAGAAGACTAGAAGAGGATCATGCATAGACCAATAATGGAAAGCATATCAGTGATCAAGGATTATGATTAGACAGTTCATGCACCTGAGATTTAAAAGATGAAAGGAAAGAAGAAAGGAAGGAAGGAAAGAAGAAAGAGAAAATAAATTACGTGTGTAGGATGTTATATATCATACATAAACTTCATTTCAAAATAGTAAAAAGGGCCTCAGAAAATATTCATTATAAAAGGAAGCAGTAAGGTACCTGATAGGATTTCAAAACACTGATCCAGCCAAACGAGGGCTTGCTGTTATTATAAACTCTGAACCTCTGTGTCCCGTTGTTTTACTCTTAAGGTACTGCACATATTGCCCGGGTTTAACTTTTTAATGTATTTGCAGTGTTTCCCCTGGACTGTATGTTACTTGAAGGTTCTGGATTCTCCACAATGTACAGTGTTGGGTAGAGTAAGCACTCATTAATTTGTTGAATGAACAAAATATACTACTTAACTTGGTGCTTTAATTTCTTGAAGAAGCAGGTTTAATGAAGACACCAATTTACGCCAGATAACTGCCCTCCACACTCTGGAGTTTCTCAGGCATTCAGGAACATAACATCTGATATAGCAGAACATGTACTCTTGGATGGCAGACGTTTAACACAGTCATTTTGGCCCATACTTGTTTAAGCCTAAAATACTCTAATAAGATTCCCAAGGAATCTCAATAGCTCCATTTAAGTAATAATAATAAAGCATATTAAATACTTACTATGGGCCGGATGTTTTGTATTATCTTGCACAAAGAAATTATTTTGGTCTATGGTTTGCCAATAAGGGAACCATGATTCAGTGAGGTTAACAACCTTTTCCATGGCTACATTGCTGGTGATGCAGAACAGGGATTTGACTTCAGATAGTTTTATACTGAATTCGCCTATCTCTCAAATACGTTATGCCACCTGGGGACATTTTCATGTCTTGATCAATTTTTTATTTCTTTCTCTGTTTTTTTGTTTTTTACAGGCCTTTTACATATGGAAGACAATGTCTGCAGGGTTCCATTTCCAAGGCCAGAGGACAAAACCTAAAAGTTAAAAGACAAAGAATCCCTCCAGAGCATAGATATCCAGAGCTAAGAAAAGCACCTGATGTACTTATAAACCATTATTATTAAATTCTTCCCTACAAGAAAGTGACTAAATCAACTGAAGTCTCTACATCTCTTAACTTCTAATACTATATAGAGCAACCATTCCTTTCAAAATCATTCAAAGTCTCAATCCCAAGACATTCAGGCAGCAAGAGTCACTGGGGTGAATGACAACCTCCTACATACCTGACACAGAAACTCTGACTTAGGAAGAGAAGCCACTGGGAGTTTTATCATACACATGGATCTCCTGGGAGAAATGAAGCATTTAAAGGCTTAATGAGATTCCCACAGTAAAACTCTGTAACAAGAAGGGAGATGAAGTGCCTTGAAAT